TTTAAATTATTTAAGAGAGTTTAGTCAAACAAAGTTGAAATTGATTTACTGAGAGAAAATCATTTTCCTTAGCAAAAGTTCAATCAATTATACATAAAAAAGGCTCCCAGGGGCACCTAAGTAGTCCAAACAACCATCACTAAAATACATGTGTCAGACACATGTGCCAGCAAAGTTGAAATTTCCTGCCTTTTATCCTCTTATGCATTCTCCTGCCTTTTAAAATGTCAATGTAAGCAAATCTGAAACAAAAAACGCTAAAAAAAAAAAAAGGAAGTTAAAAAGTTAAAACAGCAACAAAAACATTTTTACTCCCTCTCAGGTTTCTGGAAACTTCTCTAAGGTAGGCAAAAATGTTGACTATCACAGTCCTGCTGAAAGAAATTTCTGGCTTTATTTCCATATATGTAAAAGAAGAGAGTTTGAATATATGGTTTGTAAGATCTCACTGAGCTTTAATTCTTTCACTATGAAATTTGCCTACATTTGTCCAACACGTTCATCTTCATTATCTCATTTGAGCTTCAAAATACACTGGGTATTTATCAGGGCAAATGCATTATGGGTAGACTTATACTCATGATAGTTAAATGGCCCATGCAAGCTCAAACAACTACTAATTGCAAAAGGAAAACTCTTATTAACTCACATTTTTTTTAGCCATATATCCAACACTCTCCACTATGTTCTTACTTGCACAGTTAACGCCGATCAAAAAAACTCACGGCTATCAAAGTGATACATGTGCCTTATGTGTTTACTTGTTCATCTATTAATTCATTAAATATTATTGAATACCTACTATGTGCAAAGCCCCACGGACTTCTGAAATATCAAACCATCACTAGAGAGATAGTTCCAAAGCCACATCATTACACTTCAGGCTTCCTTTTTTCCTCTTTGCAGAATCAGATAAGACTAGACAGAGTGTTTTATTAATTCTTACATCAGCTCACATGACTCACACATTCTCACTATCTTATTATTTTAATTTATTCAACTTCCACTTAATTAAGCAATTACATAGAAAAGTTAAAGTCTCCATTCTCCAGGAATCAATAATCAAAGAAAGGTAGATTGGATTATTATAGGAAACATCAAGTTACAGATAGACAGAGGTAACCCTAGCAGTGGAAAATATTTTCTGGTTTTAGTCTGGAAACAATGATATCCAAACTTGGCAAGCATTGTAGATGGTCATTTTCATTTGTATCATGTCTCCCAGAGTCCTTAAAATGTGATTATTATCATATGTGTACAAAATGAGAGGGAAGAGTCAAGAATGATTTCCAGATTTCTGGTTTGGGAGACTGAATATGATGATATTGCTGCTCTAAAGTATAAAATGACAAGAGCAGTTAGAAGTAAAAGAAGACAGAGAATTTCATTTTAGATATGTGCCCTTGAGACATGTGATAGATGTCTAAAACGCACGCACATGCATGTGCGTGGACATACACACACACACACACACAAACACACACACACACACACACATTGGAGTGCAGATCTTATTCCAGAGCCTGGGTTGGAGAACCATGGACTCGTGCAGGAAATGTGCATGGAGCAAGAAGAGCATACGATAGAGGACAGAATCTCAAAGAGCTCTAAATGCTAGAAACACTTAAAAAATGTTAGAAAGAGGAACCAGAGAACATTGGGATAAAGATAGAGAGAAGTCACTAGGAAAGGGAGGAAGAACTGGGAGAGGATGCAAGAACAACTAAGAGGTACATTTAATCAAAGGGATGGGTCAGTACTGGCAAAGTTTATAGGTCAAGTAAGCTCAACACTAAAAGACTTCAATAGATTAATAAATATGAAGATTGTTGATGATTTTTGTCAGAGCAATTTTAGGGAAACAGAAATAGAAGTCATATTTTGGTAGGTGGATGGTGAATGGAATGGTGAACAGGAAATAGATTGAAGGCAGCCAGTAGGCTACTCTAATTTTCCTACAATTAACATGAGGCTACATTTGTGTAGTAAAATTAAGGAAGGATAGAAATCATCTTGACCAAAAAAAAAAGAAAATTAAGAGATAAGAGAGTAGTTAGAAGGAGCTGCACAGATTTGAAGGTTATCTGTTGTCTAAATCTTTAGTGTATAGAAAAAGAGAAGAGAGGGAGAAAATGAAAAAAAATGCAGTAGAGAGAAGAAATAATTGTGAGAAAGCAAATAACATTCGTTTTCTTAAAATACGATATGAGTGGTACCTGTAGGGCTACTAAGAGATCATGTCTGAATCAGATCTTAGTCTATAAAAGATGTGAAACATAAATGCATTTTCCATTTATGTGTTGCTGATACCAAACATTTACATAATCATTTACAACAAACTAAGGCTAACCTTGTTCGGTAGTCCATTACCATTTTACAGATGACAATACTGAACTCTATTTGACATTTGACCTGCCTATGGTTAGGAGAGAGGAACGAAGTGGTTTAGAAAAGGTACTTTGAATCCAATGCTCTCTCATCTTCACCATGCTCTATCTTTGATAATAGTCATGTGAGCAGTGTTAAATGAGTCATAAAATTCAATTTCCTGATCCCAAAATAAGATAGATAGATTTTGAAAAACAAAAGAATTACAATCAATAAAATAATGTCTGAAAACAAGATATTTTATGTTTGCATCCTTTCTCAAGAAGCATAACAATTGTTTTCTCAACTATAAGAAATGGAA